TTGGAACTACCTACCTAACATATGTTTGGCCAATATTTCAGGCCTATGTCAGGGAATATAGTCACCAAACATGGCCTTATATAGTACAAACGTACCTCCATTTTAGGATCCTGGAGATCTCCCATTGAGCTGGGGACTGGAGATCAAACAATGGTATTACCCTCTGGTAAACAAACATAGCTATGGAAACTCACCATTTATAGTGATTTTCCTATTAAAAATTGTGATTTTCCATAGGTACGTCAGTCATTACCAGAGGATCTAATGATAACCCGCTGCACCCAGCACAGACTTTTTTAGGGGAACTCTGGAAACCCGCGTTGGAGCCGCCTTGCCCTCTGGTCATGACTCACAGTTTGCTATGGAAAATTGCCATTTATAGTGAGTATTCCCATCAAACATGGTTAAAATCATGGTGAAAATCATGAGTTATGGCCATAGACATAGTTGATTCACCCATTGATAGCATGGTGATTGACCCATAAAAAATAGTGTGATTTACCCATGAATCGCATGCTGGATCTTTCCATGGTTTTTTTTGGGTCAACGAATCACCCGCTCAAGGTCAGCCAGACTCACCCAGTCGTGCCCGCTGAGGACCAAGGCCTGGAAATATCTCGGGGAGGGCAAGGGACTCTCTCGATCAAAACCTTCGAAGCGTATGCCTCCGTTGCGCAGCACCGTTCATAACGGGGGACCGTTGGGTCAATGGGTCGCCTCCCAGAAAGGATCTAGCCATAGACTTGTCATGGTAAAAAAAACCTCCTATTAGATCAGGTGTAAAGTGACTCCTGGATCTATATCATCTACTTGTCATGGTAAATTAAGTCAACAAACACCAAAAACGTATGATGTTACGTGACGTTTCTTGCAACTAAAAAAACTGAAACAACTGGAATGCTCAATCCCACATCATTTTTTTATGGCTATTCTATGGCAATTCCATGGCTATAGATAGTTCACATTCAAATTCATGGGAAATCCATGGCCCTACCTTCCGGATCCTCCTCCCAGGACTTTCCAGGCCTCAACGGTTGACGGTGGCCTGCCACCTGCCGAAGTCCCATCCCCCGAATGGATTCCCTACAACAACATATATTTTCTATTTTCATAGTAGGGCGAAGGGATTATGCAACTACCGCAACTACCATGACGACTGGGGGATGGTTTATGGCAGCAATGGTGAGCATCATGCCTCATGGCAGGATCAGATCCTGTAGATCCTGTAAGATTGCGATGATCCTATGGAAAAATGATAAATCTCTAGTATTATAACATTCTATTCCTACTCTAATTGAATAGATCATCCAAAACTGGTATGATCCTATCTCATATACTCCATGTCTGGCATATTTACTGGCATTTACCCGATAAGTGACCCAGTTTTGTAGGTAAATATATAGATACACTATGCATGGATCATATGGGTATGGTTATGATCCTGTAAAATGATCCTGTAACGATCCAGTGCCCGGTGGTCGAAAGTCTGCTGGAATGGCCATGCCAAATCCCATCAGCGCCTCAAAACTATGCTGCAGCGCAACCAGAATGCTTGGGCCTCAAGTGGAGCATCATCCGGGCTCCGCCACGGTTGTGTGAGTTTGTCCGGATAGGAGACAATGTATGTATTGTAAAAAATATATATATAATATATATATAACATATATATATATATACATACACTTTTAATATAGGAGACAGTTACCCCAATCCATCCACGATCATGCCATTTACGTATTTACCGCCGTGAGGTCGCAACACCATCTATCCAGCTATATCTGTACAAGATATACACTACAATATGTCTAGTACATAATATGTATATATATATATATAGAGTATTTCAAAATATCATAACAAGCTGTGTACAATATGGGGACTTGTTTCAAAACCCTACAGTAGCATAGTATCTTTTTTTATGGATGCACATCCATCAATCCAGTCTCGTTTATGCACAAACGTCCAGCATGGTCGTTCGAAAAAAAAAAACAGGGTGTCCCGAATCTTTTCCAGGTGTCCAATCAATGGAAATTTCAGGAACCTAAATTGGAGGCACCTACCATATATATCCATATATATATATGTAATAAATAGGTAACAATGGATATATCATAGATCATATATCTATACATCATCATCGATTCTAACACAGCACCTATAAAATCCTAAAAATGTATATAAATGAGACATGTTCCAAAACTATGTTGGTTTACCAGACGGTAATCAGGTTTCCCACCCTTCAACCGATATAAGATCATCTATGATCCATATCTTTTGAGATTATATAAATATGTAAGTTTATATCTTGGAATGTTTTTATTGCATGTAGATGATGTTTTTTTACTGTTCTTGGTAGTGGCATATTTCCAGAGTTTCCTGGATTTGCCCCAGGGTCACACTGCTTCGGTGTCCCCACTGAGTGGTGCGATGTGTAGGACTGATCTGCCCTCCAGGTCCAACTTATCCACCAAGGTGCCTGAAAACATCGGCAACTGATCATGTTCCGTTCCCCGGCACCAGTACAGGACAGCCGTTCAACGATGAATGTACGGCGTTAATGGGACTCAATGGGATTTATTTTTCCAAGTTGGCTTGGTTCATGTCGGGTGCCTTTTATAGCTTCTGGTATCGTAGTGGTACCCCTCTACATCAATGGAAGATATAAATCATGGTTTTGAAAAAGAGCTGGTCCAGAGCCTGTAACCCTAGGCTGAATTTCCCAAACATAAAAAACTTGCTCCAGAAAGCTCCCTTGCAGCCTTTTGTTTCACCCAGGACAAAAAACACAAACTGCACGGCACGACAACCACAGTCGTGCTGTATCCCGCAGTCTTGTCTTGCTTATGACCTTGACCATGTGATGGTAGGATGAGTGCTGTCCAACGTGTTTGTATATATACATATACATATACATATACATATACATATACATATACATATACATGATTATACATGTACATCTGGATATACATGTACATATAAATCGAAAAGGAATACATATACATGTACTGACATGTGTATTATGTATATATATATACACATATAAATAGATATATGACTACAATGATAGTACAATGATATAGACAGAAAGATAGATAGATAGATAGGTAGGTAGATAGATAGATAGATAGCTATTCAACCACCAGACCCTCGGCTTTCAGTGCCCGTGCCTGTGTTGGCGTGCGCTGTCTGGCTTCCGCGACCGCCTGTGCCCAGCCCTGAGCGTGTATCTTGATAGGAAGGTATGACCAATGTCAAAACCAAGTGCCTGCTATTGTAGAATCATCATTTGTTGGAAAGCCACAGGAGAATGGTGCCTTAAAAGGGTTCATGGTGGTTTTCTGGGATTTGATGGGTACACCTTCTGGAACCCTCTCGTAAAGTAACATAACTATTAGAAAATCACCATTTCCGATCAGAAACCTCACTATTTCGATCGTTCTTTTTTAGTGGCCGTGTTAAACTACCAGGGGTAATATTCTTATCTCATGTACGTAAAAAATAGATAGACATCTGCACCTGAATGCACCACGATTGTTGCTAATGTATGATCACCTAGGCTTGGCGAACGACCAGTAAGTAAGAGACCATGGCAATATGCAATCCTGTTTCGTCAATCTCTTTGTGGGACCTACTAGGGGGAACTGCACATCGCTGGGCAACCAGCACATACGATAGATGGCCATAAAATGCCGCTTACAATTCCAAAATAGTCACAACTTTTTTCACACACCTATGTTTCCCATGATTTTCAATCCGAGATGACTGCACCGTCGACACCCCCATTCATGCGACTGGACAAATCGAAACCCAGTTCTGCTTTGCATCGGACAAGCTGTTTTTTTTCCAAGTGAAATGTAGGTTCGATCATGCACCCTATAGGCCCTAGAATTTTACCTATCCAAATATAGAAATATGCCAACCTAGAGATAGAAAGTAACCATCTCCCGGGCCCCACAATCGATTCCCACAGAACCACGCCTGGATCTTGTCAAAGTGCATGAGGGGTTGCTACCGATGGAGTAACCTCGAACCAAGACATGTGAATCAGGTCTTGTTACCTTCAAATACTCCAGAATAGATGGACCAACTTTTCTTGTAAACGAACCGGTGGCTATACACTAACACGTCCAACAAACTGCAGGCACGTTCCATCACCCTTTCTGTAAATGCCCCCATGCCTAATTTTCATCCATGCTTGCATCTGCACAAAAGACGTCTTAGCACTGGCTCTTCATGCGCCAACTGGCAAAGAAGGCCATTTTGCTGGACCCAGGGCCATCGAAACGGGCCTCCGAAAACAGTGCACACCGCAACTGGAAATGTCTGTACCATCCAATGCCACGGCTGCGTTTGCCAGAACTTGAGTGCCACAGCTGCAACCACTATAGTCACTAGATATGATATGTTGGTTTCTGGCAGCCAAATTGTTCTCCATACAATACTTCTTAGATGATTGACGGTTTCGTTCCAGTCTCCAATCCTGCCATGGCAGTTCTCAATTTGTGGATGTCATTCCGGGTGATTGAAATGGACTTCTGGCATGCCATGAAATATTTTGGATATTTCTCTGAGTGGTTTAGAGTTCAACAATCAAACAAATCGTTTCATGGTCATTCAATAATCTACAATCTTCTTTCGACATCCTTTCCGAAGCAGCATGGGATCAAAAGTCTCCACACTATTGTGCTGGACCTGGACCAAAGTGTGAGCAATGAATCTTTACACTGCACGCCGCAACTGAAAATGTCTGTACCATCCAGTGCCACGGCTGCCTCGGCCGGAACTTGAGTGCCACAGCTGCAACCACTATACTCACTAGACATCATATGTCGGCTCCTGACAAACAAATTGTTCTTCAAACAATACTTCGTAAATGATTGAGGCTTCCCTTCCAGTCTCCAATCCTGCCATAGCACTTCTCGATTTATGGATGTCATTCGATCAAGCATCACTCAGCCAATGGAACTTCGGGCAACAGCCATCGAAGATCTGCCAACTCACTTCCCCACCTCTTCCTCCTCATTCTCTCCGCAGGAACTGTTGTCCATGACCGAGCTTTGCGCAGAGCCAAGATGGGATGCTTGGACACGCACGCCTGCAGATAGTGAAGCAAGCTACATTGTTCCCCTGCAGTCTTTTAAAGCCGTTCAACCCACCACCACAACTACATCACAAATTCTAACCACTGGTTACTCAAACTCCATTACAGACGTCACAACCCATACCAATCCAACAGAGCTAAGTGGTCAAACAATCCTCTAGATAATAGCCAAGCTACTTGTGGCGAAGGCCTCACTCAAATGGCCCACCACCTGCCGGCGCTTGCTCTGTTTGCCCCCAGAACCAAATGCTTCGAACAAACGCTCGGCAAACTGAGCCGCATGGGCCAGGGTTTCCGCTTTGCGCTTCGTTTCCGCTCGAACCTGCTCAGCCCCAGAAATCTTTTCGACTACAACTGCAATCACAAACGAGGATATCAAAAAAGACGGCAACTACAACTGCTCACTTCCAAAATTGAGAAGCCAAGGTCAACTCAAACGAAGCTGCTGCCTACCAAATCACCTTCACCTAGACCACCCTGTGAACCTGTACAAGATTATTGCCTTGCCGTTTTCCAGTCAGACTGACCTGCATCCTCCTACATTCCAAACTCCCAGTTTCACCGATCCGCGTATCAAATTTGTTCTCACTCTCCCTCCCACATGCCCCCAGGCTTCCTTTTCCTTGTTCAGATCTCCTGTCTCCAACTGCTGCACCCGTCCAAGCTTTGCCACTTCCTTGACAAAAACATCATAGTCCTTCCTCGAGGCAAGCAAATCGGCTCGGACACCGCCACCATTTTGCAAGGCCACGCAGCGCAACAAACGGCATCCTTCTGGCCTCAGCCACACGGTGCACAACCGTTCAAAACACTGATTCCAGCATCTGCTGCATCCATTCCAACTGCACCTAGATACGAACAGCCAGAACCAACTGCTACACTCTCTAATTTGACCCTGGTTCTTCATTTTCCAGTCTCACATGTTCGACAGAGAACCCCTATTTCTCAATCCTCCAGAGTTTGATCAAATTCTCTTCAGAAACCTGCTGCCTGAAACTTCCGCCCCTGTATTTGCAACCAAGTCACACATGTGGATTCAAAACCTTCCTGGCACCATCCCGTCCTTCCATATACTTTGGCACATGCAAGCGCACATAGAACATATGCACCAGTTGCTTCGAATCACCTTCAACTGGTGGCATAGAAACATCCCGGCTTCCATTTCCAGCATCCACTGCACCTGAAGGATCCTGCGCACTTGCCTTCGCGTTCACCTCCAGTTGCTTCTCCTCACCATCCTCATCGACCTGTCCAAGATTGAAATGTGTCTCCAAGATCGTGCCGGTGGTCTGGCTATTCACTTCTGCCATCCAACGACCATCCTTGCCCTCGTTGACCTCAATGGCACACGTGCATCCCATTCTTGCTAGTGCCGATTGAAGAACTTTAGCAGCTCCGTTCTTCCACGCTCTCTGCAGACTCTCATCGGCGTTCTCCTTCAATTGGAGCAAAATGACCCTCATGGTCGATATGGTAGCCTGTCCACCCGGTCCCAACACTGCAAGCCAAATGCTGCTCCAATCAACCTGACATATCTTAAGAGGTCCCTTGGCCTCTTTAAATGGTATTTCTGTCAATTTGGCAGAACTGTTTCTAAAACTTCAAGGACTATTTCTAAATGTGTTCAGGACCATTCCTAAAATATGTATATATATATACCCTAATATGACTTATATAACTTTATATCACTAAATGATCTAAATGAGATTCTACAAACTGAGATATGATCACATCAGGCTGCGGCCTTTTTTTTGCCCAACTGCGCATGGTAAATCCCACAGTGTTCACACTGTGGCAAGAAGCCAAAATGAGCCCACCATATCGAATTTACGGGATCTTTAGAAAGGAGTCATTTCCCTAACTGATTTTCAGAAATTCAAATTGAAGATGGCTGAATTTATTTCCCAATCAATTCATGGTGGTCTCCGCCTCCACCCTACATCTACACACCCCATTTTTTGGCTCTGTTGGCCTGACCATCCTTTTTCTTCCACCTTCCCAGCCAAGAGCTTTGGAAGATCCTGCTTCCCCATGCCAAAGCTGGCCATGTACTTGACAGCTGTGGCATAGAACCCTGGGTGAGCTGACATGCCACCAGAACGTGGTCCCCAATGTATACAAATGTCAAATGGGGTGTGTTGTATGTGATGGTATGCAAATGAAAACATGAAGTGATGCACCCATACTGATACTGTGATGTCGCGCAAAAGTGATATCATATCACCAAGGTCGCATCAAACCATCAGATCTTGTGCTATTCACAAATTCCAACACGCGCTCGGCGCGCTCGTCCACAAAACTCAAACTGCCACGAGCGCGCCGAGCGCGCCAAGCGCGTGTTAGTGTTTCACGAAAAGCAAACAAGCCCAAAAGCAAGTCTTAACTTCAAAGGATCATTGCAACATCCAAACTTGTCTCTGCCTCATGCTTTTTCTACAAACCCTAACGCGCGCTCGGCGCGCTCGGCGCGCTCTTCCATACAGCTTAAAACCAAAACCTGAAACATTTACTGAGCAAAAGGAAAGTATTGCAGAGATGCTTTGAAGGTCAGGACATAATATTGCTTTACACCTGTTTTGCTTTTCCACAAACCCCAACACGCGCTCAGTGCGCTCGGCCAAAACAAACCCTAGCACGCGCTCAGCGCGCTCGGCCAAAACAAACCCTATAACATCCCTAACACGCGCTCAGCGCGCTCGTCCACAAACCCTAACCCCAAAACCCTAAGCTTTCTTGTTGCATATTTTACATAACTAGAGTGCTGCAAAGCTTGCTTTTTGCATATTTTACATAACTAGAGTGTTGCAAAGATCCTTTAAAAATCAAGCTTGCTCTTGGCTTTTTACTTTTTCAGAAACCCTAACGCGCGCTCGGCGCGCTCGACCACAAACCCTAAACCCAAACCCCTAAGCTTGCTTTTGCATATTCTGCATAAGCAGAATGTTCCAGAGATCCTTTGAAGGTCAGAATGTGACTTGCTGTTGGTCTTGTGCATTTCACAAATTCCAACACGCGCTCGGCGCGCTCGGAGCGCGCGCCGAGCGCGCTGAGCGCGCCGAGCGTGCGTGTTAGTGTCTCACGAAAAGCAAACAAGCCCAAAAGCAAGTCTTAACTTCAAAGGATCATTGCAACATCCAAATTTGTCTCTGCCTCCTGCTTTCTACAAACCCTAACGCGCGCTAGGCGCGCTCGGCGCGCTCAGCGCGCTCGGCGCGCTCGTCCATACAGCTTAAAACCAAAACCTGAAACTTTTACTTTGCAAAAGGAAAGTATTGCAGAGATGCTTTCAAGTTCAGAACATAATATTGCTTTACACCTGTTTTGCCTTTCCACAAACCCTAACACGCGCTCAGCGCGCTCGGCCAAAACAAACCCTAGCACGCGCTCAGCGCACTCGGCCAAAACAAACCCTAACACGCGCATTGTGCCTGCCGGCAATCCTCTGAGTGACTGACGCGCCACATCAGTAAAGCACTGCTTCGTGATAGGGTCGCCAACAGACACCTAAGCAAGCGGTTTGTGTAAACTACACCATGATGGATGATGATGATGATGATGATGATGATGGCGGCAGTGATGATGAACAGGATGAACCTGGTGATGCTCATGTTGATGATCAAAATGATAACATCAGTGCCACTGTTTCATTGCTCCTTGGGGGCTGGTGATTGCTGAATCAAAAGTTCACTGAAACATCTCGGAAACATGCGTTGTCAAGGCCCACAACTGGATTCTTTGTAAATGATGATTTGTTAAAGTATGTTATGCTATGCTCTCTTGTGCGAAGTCATCTTATGTTATGGTATCTTATGAAATTATGACTATTACTATTACTATTGCCATTACTATTGCCATTACTATTGCTATTGCTATTACAGTATTACATGATAAAGAACATGTTATGATTAATGTATGTTATATACAATGCTCTGATATGATGATGATATGATATGTGATGTGAGGTAGCGAGAAGCGGCTCTGAACGGTTCAGAGCTATCTATGGGAGGTTGTTTTAGAAATGGCTCTAAGCGGTTCAGAGCTTTGTATAAAATCAAGTAAGAAATAGCGCCAAGCGGCTCTAAACGGTTTAGTTCTATTTTTAGTTATCGCCTGCCATTTTCCCAATTAGTCCAGAGCGGTTTAGAGCGGTTTCGAGCGGTTTCTAAATTTCATGGATTTTGGAACCGTGTTTGGGCAATGAGAGAAAGAACTAAACGGTTCAGAGCGGTTCAGAGCCATTCCTCGCAGATGTCTTTGAAACGGCTCTCAATGGTTTAGAGCGGCTTCTGGCACGTCCCAAAGTGCCTACATAAAAAATACATCAAAAACATAAAATATAATATATAAAAACATAGTTTAAAAATATGAGAACAACAAACATAAATAATTCATCATCAATGGCTCAATGATTGATAATAATTGACAAAGTCAACTGACAACCGCTGCCAAGAAGACGGTTGAACCAAGCCACTTCAAGTGAAGCATGGTTCAGATCCAACGCTTCAATCTCTCGGCCATTGAGGCCGAGGCCAGACAAGTCATGGTGCTTTGAAAAAACCATTGGCCCATTTGCCTTCCCCATCCTCAAATCCCGTTTTATCTTCTTCGCCAAGCTCACAATTTCAGCTCGACGTGCACCATCCTGGCTGGTTGGGCTTTGGGAATGGTCTGGCTGGCTCGGCTAATGGTTGAGAAATCTTCCTGCTCTGATTTAGAAACAGTATTGTACTGGTTTGATTTTAGAAATAGTCCTGGACTGATTTAGAAATAGTCCTGGATTGATTTAGAATTAGTTTTGTTTCTTTTTTTCTTTTACGGCCTCACGGAAGACCCAACGGCCCAACGACGGACTTGGGACAGCCCAAGAAAAGCCCCATCATAAGAACCAACTAAAGGGTTAATGAGCAATCCAGGGCCATGCGGTCATGTGCCCAATATGTCATCATCCAAAAAGGTCACATGAACTGAACAAGAAAGGCTGACCTTTTGACTGGTGCCTCACAACAAATGATAGCTGGGTCATGGATCTTTGTTGCTGGCTGGCAATGACACTGCCAACTACATGGTTTACGATTGTTTCGCGGCCGTGGTAAACATGTCCATGGTGTGAATAGAAAATAAGCACGCCGCTATAGCGAAACAATATTTTTGCACATCCAGCATGTGAAAATGCATCATTGTCGTTTCAGAAAACTACTTGTTTTATTTGCACTGTCATCATCATAATGAGCATCATCATCATCATCATCATGATCATGATCATGATCATCATCACCATCATCATCATCATCATCACATCATCACATCATCATCATCATCATCATCAGCATCCTCAACACCATATAGATCGTCAACATCATATAGATCGTCAGCAGCTGCAGCTAAGATATCTGGTTAACGTCCCCACCTACCCACCCGTAGCATCCACTTCATGTGCAATCATAACTACATGTTCTTAATCCCGATACAGCAGCGTAGCATGCACATGCATGGAAGGTTCCAGAGAACTTACAATAGCGTGGCACGACGTGTGAGTGGAAGGTAAAAGAGAACTTACAGTAACGTAGCATGACGTATTAGTGGAAAGTTCCAGAGAACTTACAATAGCGTGGCATGACGCATGAGTGGAAAATTCCAGAGAACTTACAATAGCGTGGCATGACGCATGAGTGGAAAGCTCGAGAGAACTTACAGTCGCGTAGCATGACGTATGCATTGAAGGTTCCAGAGTATGTACACTAGCGTGGCATGACGCATGTGTCGATAGTTATAGCGAACTTGCAGTCGCGTAGCATGACGTATGCATGGAAGGTCCCAGAGAACTTACAATAGCGTGGCATGACGTATATACCGTATGTATGAGTGGAAAGTTCCAGAGAACTTACAGTAGCGTAGCATGACGCATGCATGGAAGGTTCCAGAGAACGTACAGTAGCCACAGAGAAGCATGTTCGTCCTCCGCAAGTTCACATGAACGTTAATACATGCCCCACCCCACCCCAGCCCACCCGTGCATATATTCACCTACTGGCAGCCACAGAGAAGCATTTTCTTTCTCCGCAAGTTCACATGAACGTTAATGCATGCCCCACCCCACCCCACCCCAACCCAACCCTTCAGTTGCGTTGCGTGCCACTTACAAGGAACGTTAACATGCCCCACCCCACCCCAACCCTTGAAATGCATTGACAAAGTAAAAGAAAAACCACTTCCTGCCACGGCCGTGCAGCAGTCGGTGTCCAACTACATGGTCCTATGCTATGCGCACACAAGTGGATGGGCATGCCATGCCAGGTGAAAACAAGAAAAAATACAGTACAGTACATATCCAATCTTAGTGGGCCATAGCCCATAGCTCATTAACAAAAAGTAACAATAAGTAAAGGAAAGGATGGTACGGAATACAAAACCCGTCTGCCACTGCATTGTAACCCCGTATTCAGAAACATAGGAACTTAAAAAA